TTTATTTATTTTTATTTAAAAAAAATATTTTTTATTATGTGTACATATTTTAACATTGCCCCCATACCCTCCCTCCCCAGAGTTTTGTGTCTATTGGTTGTACTTATATGCATGTATACAAGTCCTTCCATTGATCTCTTATCTCCCTCAGATCTCCCTCCCCTCCCCCTGTAATTTGACAATCTAATTGTTGCTTTACTGTCTCTACTTTTGGTTCATCAGTTTATAATGTTCTTTAATATCCATAAATGAGTGAGGTCATATGGTATTTCTCTTTCATTGACTGGCTTATTTCACTCAGTATGATGTTCTCTAGTTCTATCCAGGTTGCTGCAAATGATGAGAATTCCTTATTTTTTATGGCAGCATAGTATTCCATTGTGTAGATGTACCATAGTTTTTTTATCCAATCATCTGCTGATGGGCACCTAGGCTGTTTCCAGATTCTAGCTATTGTAGATTGTGTTGTTATGAACATAGGGGTGCATATATCCTTTCTGATTGGTGTTTCTAGTTTCTTGGGATATATTCCTAGGAGTGGGATTACTGGGTCAAATGGGAGTTCCATTTTCAGGGTTTTTTTTTAATAATATATTTTATTGATTTTTTTACAGAGAGGAAGGGAAAGAGATAGAGAGCTGGAAACGTCAATGAGAGAGAAACATCGACTAGTTGCCTCTTGCACACCCCCTACCGGGGATGTGCCTGCCCGCAACCAAGGTACATGCCCTTGACCAGAATCGAACCTGGGACCTTTCAGTCCGCAGACCAACGCTCTACCACTGAGCCAAACCGGTTTCAGCCATTTTCAGTTTTTTGAGGAAACCCCATACTGTTCTCCACAGTGGTTGCTCCAGTCTCCATTCCCACCAGCAGTGCACAAGGGTTCCTTTTTCTCCTCAACCTTGCCAACCTTGTCGTTTGTTGATTTGTTGATGTTGGCAATTCTGACAGGTGTGAGATGGTACCACATTGTTGTTTTGATTTGTATCTCTCTGTTCCCCAAAGTCTTATATGCCATGTCATTACCATCTGTATTTATGTATTAATACATTTATTTGTTTAATGTCTATTTCCCAAACTGGACTAGAAGCTCCACATTGTATGTTGATTTTAGTATTTAAAGTATTAGAATAATCACACTAACATCAACAAACCGGTACTGTTTTAATCTGAACCAAGGTTGAGGCTAATCTTGAAGAGAGCTGGCAGACATCAACAATGGCTTCCCATAGCTCTTGATAACACCACTCTCAGTGTTTACTCCACAGAAGCCACATATTAACAAGGCCTTACTTTGGGCCTCATTATTATTCTATTTTCTGATATTTCCAGTGTATTATGGTTTCTTACCATAAGCCACTGCTGCTTTTCCTGTTCCTTTTCATCTTTTTCTTCACCTTCCTCTTGTGCTTGCCCCACTTTCCCTCCCTCTTCCTTTAATTTTCTCTATTTGACTACAGCCAGTGGGATGGTTCTCATGCTTTACTGAGAAATCTGCCAATTCCCTTCTAAATTACCCAATCTAATAGCCCATTTGTGGTCAAGTTCGAGTCACTATCCAGGAGAGAGACTATATATCACTTTGATTCTGTCCTTACAAAATCCTTTGGTTCCTGGGTGAGACAACTATAGTATTTTTTAAAGTATATTTTTATTGATTTCAGAGAGGAAGGGAGAGGAAGAGATATAGAAACATCGATGAGAGAGAATCATTGATCGGCTGTCTCCCCCTTTCCCCCAGGGATTAAGCCTGCAACCCTGGCATGTGCCCCTGACAGGATCAACCCCGGGGCCTTTCAGTCCATAGGCCGATGCTTTATCCTTTGAGCCAGGGCGAGACAACCATAGTATTGAAAGGACATTTCACTGGATGTAGAATTCAACAACCTGAGTTGAAGTTCTGGTTCTGTCACTCATTTTCTAGTGACGTTGAATAAGATACAACTTTTTTGAGCCTTTCTTCAGAGGTAAAAATGGGGATAAATGTACTAGTCAATTAGGGATGAATAATAGGGTCACCAAGGAGAAATTAGTATTCTTGGTCAGCACAACTCAGTGAATTTTCTTTAGCAATGCTTTATTTCCTAGCTGCAAACTGTAAAGCACTGTATCAATTTTAACTATCATTATTATTAGACTAGGTGCCCTGGCCTGTGATTGGGGAGATCAGGGCCGGCTGGTGGTGGTGGAGGTGGGGAGTGAGTAGGGGATAGGGAGGAGAGACTGAGGGAGATAGGCTGTGGGAGCACACTAACCACCGGGAGGCAGCTCTTGCATTGAGCATCTGCTCCCTGGTGGTCAGTGAGCATCTTAGTGATGTCATTCAGTTGCTTAAGCTTTTATATATATAGATGCCCTTGCCTCCTTATTTTCTTGCAACTTCTTCTGTATCAATTTCCAGTCCCAGAGCAGGCCCACATATGTTTTTTTTCCTTTCTTAATGCTCAGACTATATTAAACAACCTAGTATCCTTCACTGTATTTAATTTATAATGCCTCACAATAACTTTTTGTTTAGAAATGGCAAATATACCAGAAAACACAAAGTGTAGCTTCATGGTCTAAAAAAAAATCACCCTGCTACTTTAAGTATAGGTAGTTGTTAATAAATATTAATTGTATCAATTACCAGTTTTTAGTAATAATAGGGCAGAGCACTTTATTTTCCTACTGTTATCTGAATTGAGGCCACTAAAATCTCATGACCATGTTATTGGAATAGGTACCTAAGGGGTTTCTATCTCTCTCATTTCTCCCCTTCAAATAGGTACTCCATGTCACAGCCTGACCATTCATTTATTCATTCATGAAACATTTATAGAGGATTTATTAATGTGCTTAGTACAAAGCACAGACTAATTTGGGCAAAGATGGGAAAAAATAGGTTATTTTACTGTTATAATGCTATACTGATGTTAACAATTTTCACTGTGTTGGTTCTCCATTGCTGAGATTGTATATTCAACTTCAAATACTTAACCTGGCATTTAAGATTATCCATAATTTGGCTTTAAAAGACCTAATATTTATTTACTCCTCTTTATAACCAATTTTTTAAAAGATAAGCTTTACAAAAGATAAACTATACAATAGTTTCCTCTCATAATTTCATCTAAAAGGGATCTTTCTTCTAATTCCCCAAATAATTACTGCTTTTTCAAGTCACTTGACAATCTCTAAAGCTATTTCTTTTTTGTATTATTCTAGTCTTTTACTGTTATTTAATTTTTCATGTTTCATCTTGTCTTGCTAGCTAGATTGTCAAACTATCAGAGGTGAGATTGTTTCTTGTTTGCTTTTTTAACTATTTTTTGAGAGAGAGAGAGAGAGAGAGAGAGAGAGAGAGAGAGAGAGAGAGAGAAACAAAACATTGATTGGCTGATCCACCCACTCATGCATTCATTGGTTGACCCCAACTTGTGCCCTGACTGGGGATGGAACGTGGATGATGCTCCAACCAACTGAACCATCCCGCCAGGGCCAGATTGTTTCTAGTTTAATGGTATTTTGGAAGCGATCTAGCAATCACTAGGATCACAAAATAAATGTTAACAAAATATTTAGATCTAAAAAGATTGATCAATAAGACCCATATAAATGAAGAGATATACTGTATTTATGGAGACTCATTTATAAAGGTCTTTTTTCTTTGTATAAGCTTAGATTTTTTTTAAAATATATTTTTTATTGATTTCAGAGAGGGAGAGGTAGAAAGAGATAGAAACATCATTGATGAGAGAGAATCATTGCCTCCTGCATGCCCCACACTAGGGACCGAGCCCGCAACCCGATCATGTGCCCTTGACTGGAATCAAACCCGGGACCCTTCAGTTCGCAGGCCAACGCTCTAGCCACTGAATCAAACCAAAGATCTTAGTTGCCCCCAAATTAATCTATAAATGTAATGAAATTCCAAGAGGAAAAAAAAATGAAATTCCTGCAGGAAAGAAGAAAAATTATAGTGAAGGAATAGACTAAAATGGAAAAAAGGGGTCCTCGCTCCAATGGACTTGATAATGTCAGTTGGGCAGTCTGACATTATACAAACATGTAAAAATGTGTGTACACCTTGTTAAAAATACTATGAAGGCGTAGAAGACTGAGCCACGTAAGAAAAAAAACAAAAACCCCAGAGACCTAATTTAGATGAGGGACAGGGAATCTGAGAATCCTATCTGGAGCCACACAAAGTGTTTTTGTTTCCTAGGATGCAAGCTGCGGAACCCTGCGGCACCGGGGAGGGAGCAGCCCTGAGGCGGGAGCTCCCCGCGCCCCGCTGTCCAGTCAGGGGCTGGGGCGCCCGGCTCCGGAGGGACCGCCGCCTGTGTCCCACATCCCGGTGCGTGAGGAGAGCTTTCATCGTTTGAACTTGACGGTTTTCCCCTAGGATGTTCCTAGCGTCTTCCTGCCAGACCCTCCGCTCGGCTGTGACAGCCTCCTGTCCCTACCACAGAAGAGTTTTCTTTCTTCCCGCGCCCGCGAGCCTTGAACTTCAAGGAGGCGGCTCCTCAGACGCCCTCGCGGCCCGACCATTTGCCTGGACCACACAGCGCCCCCTCCCTGGCCGGGCGGCGGTCGGGGCGGGGCGGGGCGGGTGCGAACCGGCGAGGGTGCCGGCGCTCCTCGCCCGTAGGTGGCCGTCCGCCCCACGCGAGCGCTCGGCGTGCGTTCCGGGTCGTCGGCGCCCGGCGCGCGCCGTCGCCCGCGCTCGCTCCCGCCCCTCCTCGCGCGCGCGGCGGCCGGACAGCGCGCGCCGCTGCGCCGGTCCCCAGGCCGCCCCCGTCGGCCCTCGCGGCGGCGCGCCCCGGCCCGGCCCGGCCCGGCCCCGGCAGCCCACTCGGGCCGGCCGGCCCGCGGGTTCGCTCGCCCCGCCTCCCCCCTCCCCGGCCCGGCGTCGCAGCTGGGCGCTTGCGCGGGGCGCGTGGCCGTGGCCGGGGTCTCCGCCGCAGCCGGTGCCGCCGCCGCGGCCGCCTCAGTCAGTCAGTCAGTCCCCAGCAATGGCGGAAGGAGGGGAGCGAGAGGAGCCGCTCTCGCCGCCGCCGGTCTCTCCGGCTAAGCGCCTGTGCTCCTGGCCCAGCCCGCGGGCTCACCACCCCCGCGGGGCGCCCGGGGCGGCCGGCGGCGGGGCGGGGGGCGGCGGCGGCGGCTGCCTGCCCCCCGGGGCCCGCCCCCACCTGCAGCCCGAGTCCCTGCTGGACTGCGCCGCCAAGACGGTGGCGGAAAAGTGGGCGTACGAGCGGGTGGAGGAGCGCTTCGAGCGGATCCCGGAGCCCGTGCAGCGCCGCATCGTCTACTGGTCCTTCCCGCGGAATGAGCGGGAGATCTGCATGTACTCCAGCTTCCAGTCCCGCGGCGGCCCCGGCGCCGGCGCCGGCGCGGTTGGCGGCGCCTCAGGAGCTTCGCCTGCTGAGGAGGGGCCGCCGCCGCCGCCCCCCGGGGCTGCCGCCGCCGCTCCGGCCGGCTCCGCCCCCGGGCCCGCCGCGGCCGGAGCGTCCCCCGGACTCGGCGCCGGGGTCGCGGCGGCCGGCGAGGGGCTGCCGTTCCGCCGGGGCATCCGCCTGCTGGACAGCGGCTCCGTGGAGAACGTGCTGCAAGTCGGTAGGTGCTCGCCGGCGGGATGGGCCGTCTCCGGTCCCGGCCTCTTCTCCCGCAGGTGCCTTCCCTTCGCCCGGGCCCTGGCCCGAGGAGCCCCCGCGTTCTGCCCAACTTCTTCTGTCCCTGCCCGGGAGCAAACTCCCCACGCCAAACTTTTCTCCGCTTTTCACTCAGGTCCACGGCTGTCTGTCCCCGCTCTGGCCCGCCATCCCTGTTCCATTTTCTTTGAAGAGCTCATAGGTCTTTTTTTACTCTTCATTCTACACCGAAGGCCTTTTGGGATGTAATAATTTCTGGAATGAGTGTTTTTTGTTTTTGTTTTTCTAATTTAAGTTTAAAGAGGAGGGAATTGTTAGTCAAATCTGTGGCAAGTGATCTTAATAGGGAATCTTTGAGGGACAGGCTATAGTCTTAGCAGATTGAAGCTGGGTATAATTAACTTTAAAATGCGGGGGGGGGGGCATGGAATCAACAAAATACAGCGCATTTCAGGCAGTTTAAATGTTCTTGCTTTAATATTTTTTCCTCCTGGACCAGTGATACTTGGAAATCGAGGCTGCGGACTTAACAATAACCGAAGATGGAAATGTGACAGCTTCTCTTCTCTGTACCCCCATCACCCAAGGAAAAAAAAAAAGCTACACAATCTGGAGTGGGGGTGGGGTCTGTCTTCCTTGTCACATTGGGGTAAATCAAAGCTGGTCACGTTGGGTTTTTCAGATGCTTCTCATTTAACAAGCCTTCCTTTTTGCTTTTTGTAGGAAAATGAAAAATGATTTCTTTTTTTGTTGTCTTTTTTTTTCTCCTTCGGAGCTTCTACTCAGTGTGTTAATCTTATTAAATATACAAATACAGTAGTTCTGATTTCTGGAATGGTTAGGAAGAAAAGGGGAAAATGACATTGTTTAACATTGACTTGCAATGAGAAAAATTAAAGCATTGATTTTTTTTTCTATTGGGATTATTATAGCATTCTGGAAATGCGGATTATCTTAATGCATTTTATTGTACAATATATGCTCATATTTATTGAAAAAATATTGATTTTTGAAAGCAGTTGGAGAGAGGTGGTTTTTAGAATTAAGCACAGGAACACACACAAACTCCAGACATCTAGCTCTCTTCTGTACAAGTAAAACTAACATATTTGATTTTTCTTTTTTTTGAAGAGTAGCACCTTGTGGTGTTTCATATAAAGTAATCTATTTCTGGTTATTGAGAATCACTGAATCCTGTGTTTCTTTTTAAACAACAGTATTCCACAGTTTGTTTTGCAAATGTGAAATGTAAATTTATCTAAATTTATCCTGTGTCTGAATACAGTGACAGTGGATTGAGGAAGTTTTATTTGAAAAAACTAGTCCTTTACATATTTGTGTGTATTTTTTTATTTTCTTTCTTTTTTATTTTGTGTGTATTTTTGAAAGAATGAATTGAATAATCAGATAATTAAGATGTACAGCTTTAACACTGAAATACCGAAAACATGAAAATGAATATAGGCATTTCTCTATTAGTCTGTAAACTTTTTTCTTTGTATAAGCTTAGATCAGTTAACTTTTAAGATTCTTTTTTTAATTTTTAATTTTTTTATTGATTAAGGTATCATATATTTGTCCTCAACCCTCCATTCCAACCTCCCACCCCTCCTCACTCATGCCTCCCCACTCCCCTATTGTCCTTAACCACTGGTTAGTAAGATTCTTGTTTACAATATTTTAAATTGAAATGTGTCAATTTAAGTGGTCATTTTATAGTAAGAGATGGATTTGAAAGAATTTTCAAACTTGGCCGAAACTGATTTGGCTCAGTGGATAGAGCGTCAGTCTGTGGACTGAAAGGTCCCAGGTTTGATTCCGGTTAAGGGCATGTACATTGTTTGTAGGCACATTCCTGGTAGGGGGTGTGCAGGAGGCAGTTGATCGATGTCTCTCTCTCATTGATGTTTCTAGCTCTCCCTCTCCCTTCCTCTCTGTAAAAAAATCAATAAAATATATTTTTTTAAAAAAGAATTTTCAAACTTGAAGGGAGAAATGAGGTAGAGGAAAAATTTTAAAGAGGTATATTCTGAAAGTGACTATAATAAGTTCCTAAAAAAATCAGATTTTGTGGGTAATCCAGGTCATGTTTAAATCACATATTTTTCTTTTATATTACGATAGCATGCTTATTATGGTGATGAGGTTTTGTATGAGAGTTTTGGAGACCAGAGAAAAGAAACATAAGATTCTGGATTTCATAGATGAAGGAAGGTAGGAGAATGAAGTAATCACTTTTATTATTTATTTATTTATTTATTTATTTTTATATTTTATTGATTTTATACAGAGAGGAAGGGAGAGAGATAGAGAGTTAGAAACATCGATGATAGTCATCGATCAGCTGCCTCTTGCACACCCCCTATTGGGGATATGCCCGCAACCAAGGTACATGCCCTTGACCGGAATCGAACCCGGGACCCTTCAGTCCCCAAGCCGACGCTCTATCCATTGAGCCAAACCGGTCCTGGCAGAAGTAATCACTTTTAGGTATGTAATGCTATTTGTGACCCCTGAGCTATGTAATCTTTATTCTTCTGACCTTAATTTATGCAAGTGAATGTGGAAGAAAAGGATATGCGATTCTGTATCCTTATGAGTTCTGTATCAGGCATGAATCATCTTTTAATATATAAAATTAGGGATTCATCCCTCATCTTTTAAATTTAAAATGTATGTGAGTTAATCTAGAATATAGATTTTATAAAAGTACTAGAGGCCCGCTGCACAAAATTCCTGCATGGATTCAGTCCTAGGCCTGGCTGGTGATCGAAGCGCTAGCATCTGGTGTGGAAGAGCAGGTCCCAGCTGACCTCTGGACCTTGGGCAGCACCTGGGTCCCCAGACCCCTACATGCTCCCTCTACCTGAGTCATGACACCTGAGTTCCCACATGGAGATGTGGTGAGCGCAGCCAGACTCCGTGGGCTGAGGCTTAGCGTGGGCCTCTGGGCCTCCCGGTGGTGTTACATGGAAGCCGGCGGGCAGCGCGCTCTCTCCTGGCCTTGCAGACTGGCTCCTGCACAAACACATGAGGAGCCTGACTAGCCCCTGCGGTCCCAGTGGCTGCGGTCTGGCTTACCCGAAAGAGGCCATGCAGGTGCGAGGCGGGCTCCTCGTGGGTGCCCAGCACCTGAGAGCAGGGGCTTCCCTGGCACATGAGCCCTGGTATCCCAGGGGAGGGTAGCAGGGGGAGTGAGAGCAAACTTAGCAGACACCCCACATTCTTCCCGTTACCCCTGCCCCCACGTAGCCAGTGAGAGGTTGCAGCCCCCTGCCTAGCACTGGGGGAGGTTGGTCCCCGCCACCCACACCCAGTTCCCTGTCCCAGCCTAAGGCCCAGCCCCGATTGGGCGATCAGGGCCTGTTGGCTGCTGGTTATTGATTGCTGTCTGTGGGGCTATTGGTCGGGCCGGCCCTCCCATCTGGCTCCCTGAGCACCTGGGAGCCAGGTTGGTGGCCCCACCCCTGTTGCCACTGCTGGTCATTTCTGTGGGGTGATTGGGCTCTGCTCACACCTGCGTTGGCCTGGTGCTGCCCACTCACCTGCTCCACCATTCTGCCGCACTCCTGCTCTGGTTGGGCTCATCGGGGCCAGCAGTGCCTCCACTGCCACCCACTGCCAACGCTGCATCACTGACACCCGCCATGTTCTGCGCCACCTTCTAGTGGTCAGTGCATGTCATAGCGAGTGGTTGAACTCCCGGTATAGGGGACAATTTGCATACTATGCTTTTATTATATATGATAGGATTGCCAAAAGATGAATGAGAAAGTAATTTAGAAAGCGGGATAGTTATCAGTTTATAACTTCACTTCAGACTCAGTTTCTGAGTGGTGCTAATTAAAAATTCTACATATTTCCTTACCGTTCCCAAGCCATAATTAAAACCTCAGAATTAGGAAGTTAGTGAAGACTGATGCTTTAAGAAGGAAGGGAAGAAAGGGTATTTTTAATAACATTTTTTATTTTATTATTACTTTAAAATTTATTTTTTTACAGAGAGGAAGGGAGAAGGATAGAGAGTTAGAAACACTGATGAGAGAGAAACATCAATCAGCTTCCTCTTGCACACCCCCCACTGGGGTTGTGTCTGCAACCACATGCCCTTGACCAGAATTGACGTTGGGACCTTTCAGTCCTCAGGCTGATGCTCCAACCACTGACCCAAACCAGTTAGAGCACAACATTTTTTAAAAGAAAAGATTCCTAAAGGGATTTAAATGAAGAAAACAGAAAGACTTTACAATAAAAACAAGTAAATCTTAAAAATAAAGAAAATAGCAAACACAAAACAAAATTTGAAGGAAAAAGAATTAGACAATAAAAACTTTTTCAAAAAGGAGGTATATTAAACTTAGCAACTTGTGATTACTTCAACAAATTTTTTTTTTATTTTTTTTTATTTCAGAGAGGAAGGGAGAGGGAGAGAAATTGAAACATTAATGATGAGAAAGAATCATTGATCCACTGCCTCTTGCACGCCTCCTGCTGGGGATTGAGCCCTCAACCCAGGCATGTTCCCTTGACCGGAAATGAACCTAGGACCCTTCAGCCATCAGGCCATGCTGTATCAACTGAGCTAAATTGGCTAAGGCACTTGGGATTACTTTTCACATGGAATGTGGTAATGGGAATCATGGACTGGCTGAAAAGCAAGTACTCTGTAGAAAACATCAGATTTTTGAATCAGAATGAAAACTTTCACAGCTTGATGTAACAAATGAGAAAACTATAGGTTGTTAAGCTCAAAGGATACATTTCTTTTACATAACAGTGTTGAATCAGAGGTATTGTTCCTTTTGTTTTGTTTTTATTGTTCCTTTTAAAAGGGAACAATTGTAAATTAGTCTTTTCATGGACATCTGTAATTTTGAAGCTGTGTGAATAGTCTTAGAGTCTGATTATCTCTCAGTATTATGAAGGTAATAAAGTTCAGATGCTCTAAGCATCTGCATTTTTAAC